AAGGCTGCCTCCAGCGCCAGATCTCCAGCGGCATTCAGCTTCTAAAACTGAGCTTCAGGAACCACTGAGTACCGCCAGGTAGGGGTGCCGCTGATTGGCTAGAGTGGTCAGCTGATGCTCTAACTCGGTAGCTCCCCATTCAAAAATGTTTACTTTTTAATGAATGGGGAGCTACTGATTGGATTAGAGTGCCAGATGACTGCTCTAGCCAATCAACGTGCCCCTACCCATAGGCACTCTGCGCTTCCTGAAACTCAGTTTCAGAAGCCAGTTCCTGCTATGGAGGGTTTTCAAGAACATTTTAATACCGTAAGACAATAGAGCACCGAGGGGCCTACTGGCACCTTAGCAAAATCATTTTGATTAAATAGTTATGGTGTACACAGTGTTCCTTTAAAATTATCCAATATGTCTACATCTCAATAAAAAAAAAAAAGAAAAAAAAGAGAGAGAATTGAATACATTAACATTAATAGTTTTTTTTGTTTTGTTTTGTTTTTTACCTGGGACGATGAGAGGGACTAAAGTCTGCCTGCCAGACCCAGGTACCAGAGCCACACTATTTGGTGTCCAGGATTAGGGCCGGACTGGGAAGAAAATTCGGCCCGGGCATTTTTTAATTACAGCGGCCCACTAAAAAGGGGGAGGGGCCAGATAGGGTGTGTTTTGTCATCACCAATGACAAGCACGCCCCATCACAAACTGAGCATGTTGGTTCAATGCTCTTCCAGGGTAGACCATGTGCAGAGCTCTGCTGAAGAGCTCTGGCATGAGAAAAAGACCCTGTATTTGTTCTGCACAGCGCAAGCAAATTCAATAACATGCTTGCACTGTGTTTGCTTGAAATTTGTCTCTGGTGTCTCCATAGTTGGGATACCAGGAGACAAAAATGCTAGGAAAGCATATTGTGCAGTGTGTGTGAGGGTTCTGTGTATGTGTGTGTGTGTGTGTGTGTGTGTGCGAGAGGGGTGCAGTGTGTGTGTGTGTGAGGGGTGTAGTGTGTGTGTGTGTGAGTGATGGGTGCTGTGTTTGCATGAGGGTTCTATGTGGGTAAGGGTGCTGTGTGTGTGTGCTGTGGGTGAGTGGGTGCTGTGTTTGCGTGAGGGTGCTATGTGCATATGAGGAAGCTGTGTGTGTCAGGGGTGCAGTTTGTGTGTGTGAGGGTGCTGTGAGTGTCAGGGGTGCAGTGTGTGTGAGTGAGGGTGCTGTGAGTGTCAGGGGTGCAGTGTGTACATGCTGTGCGTGTCGAGGTGCAGTCTGTGTGTGTGTGAGGGTGCTGTAAGTGTTAGGGGTGCCGTGTGTGTGTGCTGTGAGTGTCAGGGGTGCAGTGTGTGAGTGTGAGTGAGGGTGCTGTGAGTGTTAGGGGTGCAGTGTGTGTGTGTGCTGTGAGTGTCAGGAGTGCAGTGTGTATGTGTGTGTGTGTGTGCTGTAAGTGTCAGGGGTGCAGTGTGTGTGAGTGTGGGTGCTGTGAGTGTCAGGTGTGCAGTGTGTGTGAGTGTGTGAGTGAGGGTGCTGTGAGTGACAGGAGTGCAGTGTGTGTTGTGTGAGGGTGCTGTGAGTGTCAGGGGTGCAGTGTGTGTTTGTGTGTGTGTATGTGTGTGCTAGTGAGGGTGCTGTGAGTGTCAGGGGTTCAGTGTGTATGTGCTGTGCGTGTCAGGGGTGCAGTGTGTGTGTGTGTGGGTGCTGTAAGTGTTAGGGGTGCCGTGTGTGTGTGCTGTGAGTGTCAGGGGTGCAGTGTGTGTGTATGAGTGAGGGTGCTGTGAGTGTTAGGGGTGCAGTGTGTGTGTGCTGTGAGTGTCAGGAGTGCAGTGTGTATGTGTGTGTGTGATGTAAGTGTCAGGGGTGCAGTGTGTGTTAGTGTGGGTGCTGTGAGTGTCAGGGGTGCAGTGTGTGTGAGTGTGTGAGTGAGGGTGCTGTGAGTGTCAGGTGTGCAGTGTGTGTAAGTGTGTGAGTGAGGGTGCTGTGAGTGACAGGAGTGCAGTGTGTGTTGTGTGTGAGTGAGTGAGGGTGCTGTGAGTGTTAGGGGTGCAGGGTGTCTGTGAGCAAGTGAGGCTGATGTGACTTGGGTGATTATTTCCCCCCTCCCTGCTTACCATATGCCTGGGAAGGGGGATCTTGCTGCTGGCATCCATCCCTGGTGGTCCTAGTGGTGAGTGAACTCTAGCCTGTGAGACTAGAGTTCACTCTCGCAAGACCTGGAGCGTTGCCATGGCAACGGTCCGAATCTCGCGAGAGGAACCCTGCGGAGCTGCAAGTTAGAGCTCTTCCAGGTTCCTCTCCTGGCTGTCTCCTTCCCTCTCTCACCGCTGGCAGCTGGAATATATTGCTTGTGGGCTGGTGAGGGAGATCTTTGATCTCCCCACCGGCCTGCCGTGGACTACTGCAGGGCCGGCACTCGGATAGTGCCGGCCCTGCAAAGACCGGCATGGGAGATCCTGTGATCTCCCTGCCGGCCTCGGCCCATGGCCACCACGGCCCACCGGGCATTTGTCCGATGTGCCTGATGGCCAGTCTGGGCCTGTCCAGAATGAAGTGGAGCCCCACTATTTCGTGTCCAGGACTTCACTTTTCTACCAAGTTGTTCATCCTGCTTCGATCTCCTTTTTCTTCTGACACCGACTTCTTTTTTTTTTCTACTGTTTTCTGCTCTCCTATCTTGCTGCTCCCTTCTGCTCTCTTATGTTTCTGCTCCCTTATCTTTCTGCTCCCTTACCTTCCTGCCCCTTTACCTTTCTGCTCCCTTCTGTTCTCATACCTTGCTGCTCCCTTCTGCTCTCTTAACTTTCTGATACCTTACCTTTCTACTCCCTTCTGTTATCGTACCTTTCTACTGCCTTCTGTTCTCGTACCTTTCTGCTCCCTTCTGCTCTGTTAACTTTCTGCTTCCTTCTGCTTCCTTACCTTTCTGCTCTTGTACCTTGCTGCTCCCTTCTGAGTCCTAACCTTTCTGCTCCCTTACCTTTAGCTTACTCCTTTACCTTCTGCTCCATTTTTCTCCTTTACTTTCTGCTCCTTCTGCTCTCTTTTGCTTATTTCTGCTCCATTCTCATCTTTTTGCTCTCTGTTGCTCTTTCTGTTCTGTTTTGCTCCCTTCTGCTCATTTCTGCTCCTTTTTGCTCGCTTCTCATTTTTTGCTCTTTTCTTTCTCCCTTCTTGCTCTCTTCTTGCTTCAGGCTGAAGTGGAGGTAGCACTTCACTTGTCTTCCAAGTTGTTCTTCCTCCTCCAATCTCCTTTTTTTCTGAAAAAGCAGTGTTTGCATAAAATGATTATACTCGCCAAAACAACTACATTAATCTTACCTTTCTGCTCTCTTAACTTTCTGCTACCTTCCCCTTTTTCTCCCTTACCTTGCTGTTCCATTCTACTATCTTATTTTTCTGCACCCTTACCTTTCTGCTCCCTTCTGCTACTTTACCTTTCTGCTCCCTTCCGCTCTCTTACCTTTCTGCTCCCTTACCTTTTTTGTTTCCTTCTGCTCTTGTACCTTTCTGCTCCCTTCTGCTCTTACCTTTGTGTTCACTTCTGCTCTCTTACCTTTCTGCTCCCTTCCCTTTCTGCTCCTTTCTGGTCCCTTGCCTTTCTGCTCCCGTACCATGCTGCTCCCTTCCGCTCTTTTACCTTCCTGCTCCCTTCCGCTCTTTTACCTTCCTGCTCCTTTCTGCTCTTGTATGTTTCTGCTCCCTTCTGCAATCGTACCTTTCTGCTTCCTCACCTTCCTGCTCCCTTCTGCTCTTGTATGTTTCTGCTCCCTTCTGCAATCGTAACTCTCTGCTCCTAAGTTATAAGAGCTTCCAAATCACACACAGAAGAGAAAATAGCACAGTCAGTAAAAAAGGGGGATAAAACATTTTTTAGATACATAAATGAGAAAAGAAAAGTAAAACAAGGATTAGTTAGATTAAAAACAAAAGAAGGAAGTTATGTAGAAGAGGATAAAGGTCTAGCTGACTGCCTCAATGAATATTTTTGTTCTGTATTTACAGATGAAAATGAAGGAAAAGGACCTCAGTTGAGAAAAGGGATAAATGAGTCATTTATTACATGTGAGTTTACAGAGGAAGAGGTTCTATTTCAACTGTCAAAGGTAACGAAAAATAAGTCAATGGGACCTGATGGAATCCACCCAAAGCTATTAAAAGAGCTTAGTGGTGTACTAGCAAAACCATTAACAGATTTATTTAACCAATCATTGTTAACAGGAGTAGTCCCAGAAGATTGGAAGTTAGCGAATGTTGTGCCCATTTACAAGAAAGGTAATAGGGAGGAGTCGGGCAACTATAGGCCAGTAAGCCTTACTTCAGTAGTGGGGAAAGTGATGGAAACCATGTTAAAGGATAGGATTGATGAACATCTAAAAACACATGGATTTCAAGATCAGAGACAACATGGGTTTACTTCAGGGAGATCATGCCAAACTAATCTTATTGATTTTTGATTGGGTAACTAAAATTATAGATCAGGGTGGTGCAGTAGACATTGCTTACCTAGATTTCAGTAAGGCTTTTGACACTATTGCACATAGAAGGCTTATCAATAAACTGCAATCTTTAAGTTTGGATTCCAATATTGTTGAATGGGTAAGGCAGTGGCTGAGTGACAGGCAACAGAGGGTTGTAGTTAATGGAATATATTCAAAGTTTGGACTTGTCACCAGTGGGGTACCTCAGGGATCTGTACTTGGACCCATTCTCTTTAATATTTTTATTAGTGATATTGCAGAAGGTCTTGATGGTAAGGTGTCTTTTTGCTGATGATACTAAGATATGTAACAGGGTTGATGTTCCAGGAGGGATAAGCCAAATGACAAATTATTTAGGTAAACTAGAAAAATGGTCAGAATTGTGGCAACTGACATTTAATGTGGATAAGTGCAAGATAATGCATCTTGGACGTAAAAACCCAAGGGCAGAGTACAGAATATTTGATAGAGTCCTAACCTCAACATCTGAGGAAAGGGATTTAGGGGTGATTATTTCTGATGACTTAAAGGTAGGCAGACAATGTAATAGAGCAGCAGGAAATGCTAGCAGAATGCTTGGTTGTATAGGGAGAGGTATTAGCAGTAGAAAGAGGGAAGTGCTCATGCCATTGTACAGAACACTGGTGAGACCTCACTTGGAGTATTGTACACAGTACTGGAGACCGTATCTTCAGAAGGATATTGATACCTTAGAGAAGGTTCAGAGAAGGGCTACTAAACTGGTTCATGGATTGTGGGATAAAACTTACCAGGAAAGGTTAAAGGATCTTAACATGTATAGCTTGTAGGAAAGACGAGACAAGGGGGATATGATAGAAACATTTAAATATATAAAGGGAATCAACACAGTAAAGGAGGAGACTATATTTAAAAGAAGAAACACTACCACAACAAGAGGACATGGTCTTAAATTAGGGACAAAGTTTAAAAATAATATCAGGAAGTATTACTTTACTGAGAGGGTAGTGGATGCATGGAATAGCCTTCCAGCTGAAGTGGTAGAGGTTAACACAGTAAAGGAGTTTAAGCATGCGAGGGATAGGTATAAGGCTATCCTAACTATAAGATAAGACTAGGGAGTAATGAAAGTATTTAGAAAATTGGGCAGACTAGATGGGCCGAATGGTTCTTATCTGCCGTCACATTCTATGTTTCTATGTTTCTATTGGGGGTGGTCCGCGTTCAGGGGTGAGTGAATTCCCTTTGTGGAAGCACTCCCGAAAGGGGAACAGGCACAATAATCGAAATACAGAAAGGACACACATATTACAAGCAGGAACCACACAAACCAGCAGTGGTTCTGCCACTGTAAGGTAGTGTAAATGTTATTTTCTGACACAAGAAAACATATGCTAAGGAAGTGGGGCTGGACTGCTGATCTTTCATAGTTCTTGCTTTACTAACCTGAATCTCACCAATCCTGCTTTCTTCATGACTTTGGAACCTCCATAAAATCAGTAGCTACCAGTCTACATGGCAACCTGGATATTATTTACCTGGCTGCTTAGATTCAATATAAAACTTCAATGCGGTTTACCTTTGCAACCCATGACGGACAGCACAATATGTCTACTCAAGTCTCAAATGTGGCTTTGATATTTCCTTCTGTAATAATTACAGAGCCTTGCCACTTGATGCATTGTTTGCCTGAAGATGGTAATGCCATTTGCTCCTTTATGTAAAAAGCTCTTTTTTGGTGCGGCCTGGCCTGGCTCTGTGTTTGCCACCCTCTTTGGGGCAGGGGGGTATTCAAGTCTTGTTTTGGTGTTTCAGTGATCAATTGCAGAACTAAGTAAACTTTGAGCACTCTTTTTTCCTTTCCATACTTGTGGCTGTTATCAAAGTCATCCTTTCTACCAATCGAGTTAAAATGGAGCCCTCTGTGCAATCTGCATCTGCTCACATTGGTTCAGCCCTACTGCTTCATTCTTTTATTCCCCCTGTGAACCTGAAGAGATAGTAGTACCACACAACCACAGAATGAGCAAAAGCACTAATGACCTATGCTGGCGATTATGTAGTGCAAATGGCACTTATTTCCACATGTGGAGGGACTGTGCAAAACTGAAGTAATTCTGGCAGTGTCTATGACTTGTTATCTAATATATTTACCAGACCATTTGACCTGGACCCTTGGGCATTTCTGCTTGCTAGACCTGTTGATGGTTAACCTGCTAGGTCCCAAAAATTGCTTAATAAAATATTGTTAGCTGCTAGGCGATCCCTAGCTGTGAAATGGCTGGGTGACATAGCTACTGACATGGTGGAAGCAATACATAGAATTCAAGAGAATTATCTAAAGGATAAATTGATGGAACATAACGCTACCAACTCCATTGACAAGATTTGGGCTCCATGGGTGGAATAGGAGGAACAAGGGGTAGGGTGACTGTGAATGCTGTGTGGTTCCGGAGTGGAACATTACTAGCTTTCGGTTATTGTTATTCTCGATCTCTACTTTGTCAGAGGCTGGCAATGGACAAGCGCAGGGCTTTATTTCTTTTTTTTCCTTTTTTGGCTGTTATTTTAATTGTTATTGTTTCAAACACTTGCAATTTTGAATTACACTAATACAACACGAGTAGTAATGACAACCTATTGTCACCAATTCACTGAATCTCTTCGCATTTTGGGGAAGTGGCCATGAAGTGAAACACCTGTTGTGTTTATTGCTTATATATTTTGAGCAACGCAGCAATGTGGAGAGGAGCAATATAAGCCATCAACCCCTATACATCAATTAACTTACCCATCTGGTGGTGCTGCTCTAGCCCCTTCCGCTGTAGTGGGAACCACTCAGTTCATTCAAATTGCCATAACTATGGATGGAAATGTGAGGTTTGGCATAGCTAAAGGGGCTCCTGAGTTGGTAATCTCAATTATTACAGTGCCGACCCTGGGCTTCGGTTTGCCGCTTCTTTATCATGCACACTTTAGTCTAATTTTTGTCTGTGTTCTTTCTTTGCTTCTGTTAAAACTGAAATATAATGCCAAACATGTTATATGTCATCGTATGCTCTTTGATGGCATCCGTCTTAAATAAAGAATTTTAAAAAAGAAAAAAGAAACTGCTCAACAAAGTCAATATTAATTTACTGCTTCTAAATCCCTAGGTCACTACTGTCCAGTAATTATTATTGACCGGTCTTTCCTTTTCTGAAAATGTGGACAAACCACTTTTTCTCACTTTTTACATAGTCTGTATGTCTTCTCTTATGATAACTTGTGACAACAGGTTAAAAGTCTCTGCTCTCAGAAGTGAGCGGATTTGAGAACAACCCTTATCCATTTAAACTTATTTCTTGCATGTTTTCCTTACTCACTGTAAAATTGTGCATTATATGTTAATGCTTTATAAACAGTAATAATAAATACAATACCCAAAACTTCAGCTTCTGGAAGGATGTATTTTGAACTACAAACAGCACAGTTTTCTTGATAATCTGAAATTCTGCCAAACATACTTGGGTGTTTATATCAGGGAAAGGGATAGACACGGACTCCTAAAAACAATTCACACAGCCATACAGTATAACATCTTTTAACTTATAAGTCTTTTTTCAGCTTATGTAATTATGTAACTTTAAAGAAGAAAGTGGCATGGTTAAGGGGTTATGCTAAATGCCAATTTAAAAAAAAAATAAATAAAATAAATACAATTGGTGTTTTCTCTACCTATAGTCAGGAATAAAAACCTGCCCTACACCTTTAACACATATGGGTCAAGCATATTTTTATAAGGAGATCCCATTAAATATTAATTAGTGACATTTCCACCACAGGAGGGACAATTACACATACGTACATTACTCCTTTTACTGAAACATGGAGAATTTAAGCTTTTAATATATAAAATGTGAAACATTGAGATGTATTAAGGCAAATATAAACATCGGTAATATAATATTCAACCCTTTAATGACAAATATGATATCAGCAAGATATTGGTGGAAGACATGAGACAGAACCATTTGTAATTAATGTACCAGAAGTAGTGGATATGAGACGAATGTAGGCATAAAACTGATTTAAAAAGAGCAGCACATAGAGATCAGCATGGGATAGAATAATGTTTGTAAAAAAAGACACGTGATAAGAGTGAAGGCAAAAGCATT